TTTATTTATTTTTCATTACAATTAATTCACTTTAAATAAATAAAAATATAAAATTATAGGATTAACAGGAATTATAGTTGCTCAACACCACAGGAATAGTTTTAAAAAAAGTCGAAAAAAAGTCTAAACTCACAACTCCAGAGGTTCACGGAACGACAAGGTGCGCTGTCATGACAACAATGAAAAAGTTGACATCAACCTAGTCAGCAGGTCACGTGGGAGTGGCAACCAGAGAAGTTCTCACTTTCTGAACTAGTTCAAAGTTCAGTTCACACATTTTAAAATGAACTAGTTCAGTTCAAAGTTTGCACAGAAATGTAAGATTTTTCCCATCTTCACCAACCTCGTTATAAAATCCGTTTAAATTATCATACGACGCCTTTGTCGACGGCGGTCGCGGTGCGACACTGGTGGCTTGTGTTGCCAGATTGGGTGTTTTTTCGCTACATAAGCCCTGCTTACGGTGAGTTTTAGCTGGGTTTTCGCCTGGAAGGCTCTATAGAAATCTGGCACCCCATTGAACGAAGTTAAACTGAGATAGCGTGCGTTCACAGACACCAGAATGAACGTTCATCAGGACAGGCGGTAAAACAATACGTTCAGTTCACCCAAAATATGAACGAGTTCATGAACGTGAACCTGTTCAGTTTGGCTGCCTGGGTCTTGAGGATATAGACTGACCGACTTGTCTTTTTTTTTTTTTGAGCAAGCATTGATTATGCGTGACACGGTCTCAATTTGCGGGACTCATGAATTGGGCTTCAAACGCTGTGCGCGCACGCGCTACGCGGGACGGGTGGTCACCCTATTCATGAACCTTAAAGAGAGAGAATGACATGCTTGTTAAAGCCAGCCCATCTCATGAAGCGTTTGTTACGTTACACCGAGCCGACCTCATACATTGCACATTAAAATCTGCAAGAATAAATTAACATGTGACCACAACAGACAGTTTATGAATGAGAACCAAACCACATTTCCTTTGAATCTTCTGTTAAAAGGGTCATGAACTGGCTTTTTAAATTGTATTATATTGTTGTCTGAGGTCAACTTATAACGTTCGAAATGTCAAAATGAACAAGTAATAGGCTATTTTGGACCCAGGTTGTGAGCCTACCTAAAAAACGGTCGGTTTTTATGGGCGTGTCGCACTGAAGACTTGGAAATAAAAAACCACTGCTGTGAGTGGAGAACAGTTTTGCATATTATAATGAGTTTAACTCACCCTTCGGTGCACATGGGGGAAAACGTCCAATGTAAAATGGCAACCGGATTCGCCCATACATGTTCGACCCAGAGTCCATGTGTTGCACAATTCCTGTCAGATCCAATATAGACGGCACAGCACTGTTCTTTACTCTTAATCGGTCTGCAAATCCAGTTTTGTTTACAAAACAATCCTCAGTGAAATGAAGCGAACAGACGACGATGTTTTACCTCATCAGCTGGAACGTCATTAAAAATAAAGTTTATCCATGCAGTCCTATTGGAATCCAGAGGAAGCTTATGCAGCGACTGTCTTGCACAGCACAATATTCTGTATTGCTCGGTAGCTCGATCCAGTTTGTCATCACGAGGTAAGCATGTACATGTATGTTACTTAGCTATGTGTGTAATGGGTGAATCGTGGGCGTGGCTAAACCTGACGTGTTGAAGTAGGCGTTGATCTTCTTCTGTGGGGGTGGTGTTTTATCCTCTTTGATGTCATAGTTCCCCACTTTGAAAAACGAGTCGTTTTCAGAGGCTGGTGTCAATAAAAGCTTTTATTGGACTAACAAGGATGTTTTCAGTTCTGAAACTAACAGGATATTATTATAGTATGATGACCTCTTAGATGTCAAAAGCTCAAGGAAAATTTGATTTCTCAGTTCATCACCCCTTTAAAATGACTTTCATTCATTACCAGAAAATATATGTAAAGCACCTTGCATTACTATTGTGTATGAGATGTGCTAGAAATAAATACCTTGCCATTCGATTAGCCTGCCTGCTTGTCCATCCAGGTGCTGAGCATTGTTTTCTTGGATTACCCTTTTTGCCTTGGACCCTCGTCTGTTTTGTTTGCCTGGCCCAGACAATGGATGCTGACCAAAATGTTCTACAAAAACAACTCATGAGAAGCATTAACCATTGTGGTGACATGTTCTATGATATTACCCTAATTGCCCATACTTGACACAAACTACTCTCACAAAATGTGTAAATAGATGCTTCCCAAGGACACGCTGTAAACACAGATTGAGTAGCACAAATAAATCTGAGTTAAATACAGACATTTTAGCACAGCAGAGACAGTGACGACAAAGGCCTGGGATTCAACGGTAAACTACTCCCAGATTTTTTAGGTCAGCTAAAAAAATTGTAGGTCAGCTAACCTGATGAGGTCTCATTCACTCTATGAACATGATAAAGCCAGATAAGTGTTGGATTATGAAAGGACACATACTCAGCTTTATTTTGAAGTAAAATACATGTCAACATCTCGTGAATTGGCAGAATAAAAGACATTTTGGTGTGAGAAACATGAAATTACCGGCAGAAAAAAACATACACTGCACAGTTTGAGGTGGTCTCTTCACTTCTCTGACCAATTAAAGCTTAATGATTATCAGCACTGAGAAGTACAGAACTCACTGATTAATTTGCTGCAAAAAGCAGAAAGAAAGCTTGAGATTTGAGTTAAATACAGACATTTTAGCACAGCAGAGAAAGTGAGGACACACTGCATGTTGTTTGCACACTTTATTAACTTGAAACTGTTTTCACAAGAAAAACACACTCATCACATGGTCAAACACACGTCACACAGTATTAATAATATAAAAGAATTTATATACACTGCATGTTGTTTGCACATTTTATTAACAAATATCCCCGACTAAGCAAGCGAAAAGGCGACAGTGGCAAGGAACCAAAACTCCATCAGATTGGATGGAGAATAAAAACTTGAGACAACCCAGGCTCAGTCTAGCTTACATACATATTGTTTCAATAGAAGCTTTACAGTAAGTGTATATCAGGAAAGTTAAAAGGGAAAAAAATACATTTAGTTAATCATGTAATAGTAAGGGCATAACATATCGCCAGCATTGAGTCGTCTCTTCACAGGCGTTGGTCTTCTCATCACAGGCGTTGGGGCATCTGAAGTCTCTGTGAGAGGCTGGATACAAACTGGAGCTGACGAACCCCTATTTTCTCGGGACAAGCTTCCCGAGATAAGAGCAGAAAGGCAGATGGGAAATAATTAGCATAGCTGATGTTCATAATATTAATGCATTTGATCTGATTCAGCAGTAGTATAAAAGGTGAGCAATATGTGAATGAATGGTTAAAGAGATGCGTAACTTTATGGAAATGGTTCTCCCGTTCTGGCTCGCTCTCAGCATCCCTTCAAGGAGCTCTGAGGAGCCGACGATGGAAGGAGACACTGTCCTGGGATGCCTGGGTAGAGTGCGTGGTGCCCTCTTCAAAATCCTGCTGTGGTAAACAAAAAAAACAAAACAAAAAAAACCCAACAGGTTATTTTACGAATGTACAGTGAGCTTACAATAAGTACTTTACTCTACTTACAATACAGTCTGTCTGGGTTGTCAGTTCACAATGAGGCTCCATTTAAATTTGTCACACATGGTCTGTGAGAGGCAAGCAGACGTCCGGCAAAATCACAGTCTGAAAAAGTCCGGGTTGTCAGAGAACCAATCCAGCTCCAGGACGTAGATCAAACTCACAGTCTGAAAAAAATAGAGTCTGTCCGGGTTGTCAGAGATCCAACCACTCCAGCTCCAGGACGTAGATCAAGGTCAATTATTTCATTGGTCACACTGAGGCTCCATTTACATGAAACTACAATGTTTAGACGCTATTGAGGCTCCTTTTACATGAACATCAAGTCCATACGCAAGCTCCCAATTTTGTCTAGACATCTATAGTTCATTCGCGAGCTCACAGTTGACAAATAAAACATTGATAGTTCATATACAGTTCCCAGTGTCATAAAATGTGACACAAATGGTCTGTGAGAGTCCAGCAAAATCTAGTCCTTAAAACAGGAATCAAAAGTCCAGCCACTCCAGCCTGATGAAGGCCTTCTCAACCATCCAGCCAGTCCAGTTGTAGGCCCTCTCCACGGAAGGACTTCCTTTTGACCCCGTAGTCGAACCGTAGTTCAACGCCCACACTGATGTCCTTCAGTGCCCTGAAGAGGATGACGTCCTTGTCCTCCCCATTCACACGTAACCTGCAGTGAAAGGGCTTCAGGTTGGGCGCTTTTGTGGAGTGGTTTATCCTCCTCCCAACGGTGTCTTTGCCAGGGTGGCACTCGCACGGAAAGGTCTGGGCGTCGACGCAGAGATCTCTCTGTCCGGCTTTAAAGAAGAACATGTACCCGGCCTCGTCATGCTGGGCCTGCACCATCGCCCTCCCTTGAGCAGCTGGGATGACCTTGCCGTGGCAGTCGCAAACAATGTCGTTCTTTGAAAAAGTCTGAGTTGCCACGACTCCTAAAATAATGAGAACACATTACATTTTTTAATTAATGAACAAACATTACATGTAGACACACAGTTCAGAATGTAAATGTAGTTCTTGCTGCAGTTATTGGCTGCTAAATTGTACATTTTACATTATTGTTTTTTTTCTGCCCTTACAAGACAAATGAAAGGTTTTCTTACCAAAACCACGCTCGTCACCAAAGTCTTTTATGGCCATGCCCGACCAGTTCTGCTCAGACACACAGCGAATGATGAACTTGTCATCTTCAACTGCTGCCTTCGAAGGTGGTGTCCACAGCCGTTCGATGTCCTCCGGCTTGGGACAGTTGACCTTCCATCCCTCCTGTGTAATAAGCCGTGCCACCTTTGCGGCCGAAGGCTTGCGGACTGTGAAATGTGCTGAAAGACAGAATGAAATAACGTTACTCATGTGTCACTGTAAATGAATGACCTAGTTTTTGTGTTGAGTTAATGAGTGTCAATGCTCTATTGATGGATTCAGAGACTCACACAGCAGATATTGCTCTCTCTGGGCATACTGGGTAATCCGCCACTTATCATAAAAAACGCGGTCATCTGGAAAGCCTGATTCGACGCGCTGCTTCTTGGATGGCGGCTGACCCTCCGGCGAAACAGGAAATCTCTCCACAAACTCAGCGAAGCTCTTCCCAGATGGTCCAGCTGCACAGCTTGTGGCCGAGGAAGTCTCGTCTGCAGAAGTGCTGTATGAGAGAGGAATACACGGTTTATAATATACCAAAAAATTATGAATGAAAACTTGCTATTTTTGTTGTGCTAATTGTTTGTGATGAGTAATGGATGAAGAGATGTGTACCTGACTAATGATTCCAGCAGCAGAGCTGCGTCGACGACATCCTGCGGCCGGACCGCACCAGTGCTGATGGCCAGGTAATGCTGGAGCGCCTCCTGTTGCTGCGCCGGGAGCTTTTCTGCAGCCTCCTCAACAGCCCTCCGCACACACTGGGCAGAGAAAGGAGCCAGCTTGTACCTGCAGAAACAAAAAGGAAATATTAATTGTTATGTGACTGTGATGAGGCAAGATACAAAGAAGTGTATCCGTTCACACATACACACATGGACCCGTGTAACGCCCGTTTCACACATACTCCGTTTGCAGTGCGTATGCGGTCCGTATTTTTTTCCGTACCCATGTTAACAGGTTAGAGCTTTCACACTGCACGCGGATGCAGTCCGTCGATCCGTTCCAGTTGCGGTGCGTATACAGCAGTGCAGAGATCGTTTCCGTACCGAGTCTATTTCTGCTGTGCTGCAAACGCAGAAATAAAGTGACAGCGCACGGTTCGTCGTCAAAATGAACTCAGATTGACCTCGAAATGTAGTAGTTTCACCATAAATGCATTTAATTCAATAAAATGTAGTAATCTCTCCATAAAGGTATTTAATTGTTTCATATTTTTACTTTAAGACATCTTAATATACAAGTAATGCATGGAATTGTATGCATTCGTTGTCTAAATCGTGTTTAAACGAGAATGCGTCCATTCAAGTTTGTAAAAGAGAATCGCAAAGCCATGGCAAAACTTTTATTTTTAAAAAAGTTACTGCATGGTGAACATATTTTGATTACCAAAAACCAGGACACATGGCCCAGAAAACAAATGATACTCGAAGTTTACTCAAAGATGCCTTATTAATTTCAATACAATTAAAATAGGCTATGCCCCCTCTGTGGATAGAAAATTGTTGTATTAAGACACAAAATCAGATAGCCTAGGCTTCTCAGAGGATACTCAACATGTTTTATTATGACAGGTTGGTTTTTAAAAAAATAATGAATGAAATAATGATTAAAAAATAATGTCTCTTCTGTATTAGAAAAATAAATATATCAATATTAATTAACTAAAAGAAATACAAATTGAACAAAAATACCTCTCACAAACGTACAAAAACGAACTCGTTTCCTTCCTCTTTATCCTGTTTTTCCTCCTCATCCTCCTTGTCTGCTCATCTCCTATATTTTGCTATAAAGCTGATCTTTTCCAGCGATTTTTTTTTTTTTTTAAACCAGGACATCACTTTATAAAAAACGGCCAGGAAGGACGTGAAAACAGGACTGGGATAACAGGACTGTTGGTCACTGGTCATGCTATTGCTGCATAACTTCTGATTTTGAAATAAAAATAGCGAGTGTTTGTGGTACAGCTCACGCACTGCAAACGCAGCATATGTGAAAGCACTTTAGCGCGTGCGGCTCCTGTACCGGATACGCACCGCAACACTCACCGCATACGCACTGCAAACGGAGTATGTGTGAAACGGGCGTAAGGCACTTACAATTTATGGAGCCGATTCATGTCCCGAGAGACACTTTGAACTTCCATGCCGGATGACGAAACAAAGAATCTATTGCAGAGTTTCTCCGGCTGAATGTTCTCAGGCCTGATTCGTCTGAAGTACAGCTCCAAGCACTACGGAAAAAAAAGACAGATGAGTTATTACATTTAAAACAATGGTGGAGAGAAATCAACAGTTTGTATCAGTAAAACTTACAGCTTCCTCCTCTTGGGTCAGAGCAATCTGCATACTCGAGGTTTTCTCCCTCTGTACGCCGATCACAAATCTGTCACCCAGCTTAGTCTTGTTCACCCACTCAGCATCCTGGAAAATATCGAGAAGGCGTTATTTACAAATGCACAAGTGTGCCAATATTAAAGCACATCCGAAGTGTAAACTGGTTAGAGTAGATGAACTCACCGTCAAGGCTTCCACAGCTCTGGGACGCTGCATGTGGACAAACACCAAGAGCGCCTCGCAGTAATAGCGGTAGAGCGTCTGGTCCGTGTTGGAGAGCTCTCTGCCCGCCTGGAGGTCCCTCTGGATCCTGAGCACGTCCGGCTTCGCCACTCTCACGATCTTCTGGCAGTGTTTAATGCCAGGAGCCCTCTGAACCAACCGGCTGTTTGGATTAAACATAACAGACAAGACTATTAAAGTTATCAATAACATAAAGTGAGAAAAGAATTTACATTTAAAATGTTTAAGGATTGCCCTTACGTTTGAGGAAGATCAGATGAAGGAGCAGAAGCATCATCTTCATCACAGTCAGACTCGCGGGGCTGGTTCGTGATAAAAAAACCACGCTGAAGAAACTCCTTGACCATGATGACGCGAGAGCGGTGATCGGGCAGGAGCGCACAGATCTGGTTGTAGTCCCAGGTCCTGTTCATCTGAACCCACTCTCTGCTCGAAGCCTTGGCTTTCTGAACCTCGGCCGCTCTCTCCTCGGGCGTGCGTTTCTTCATGCAGACTCTGGCCAGGTGAGCAGCAAGGTTTTCCTGGGGTTTGTGGCACTGCAAGCAGTGGACAACGGTGCGATCAGCGGACCTTTAAAAACAAAATGACATGATATAGAATCAATTATTTAAACTATGATCTGAAAGAATGAGACATAAGTAAAAAAAAGAAATAACCACTTAAATGGAGCTCAACAGTAAATACACAAAAACACAACTATTACCTCTTCACAGCTTGTCCTTTCATTTCAGAAAATTCCAATTCAGATCTTCTCAGCAGATCAGCAGAGTAGAAGCATTTGAAGAATAGTGGTTTCTCTTGCAGAATGGGTCCCAGATAAACCTCCTGAGTGTCTCAAACCAGCCAATCAGATCGCAGTATTATACAATGGGTGTCAATGGGCCATTACAACATGGCAGCTGAAACTTTTTCTGCTTATTTCTCAAAAAATCTCATAAGTTTAAAATACTTAGAACTGAGAAAATGTGACCAAATATTTGTAAACTGAACATAAAGAGCTTCATTTTGATAGGAAACACATTAAAAAAACCTTGAGATTTGAAAAGAAAAAGAGCAGCATCCCAGAAGAGGAAGATCTCATTGAGCAATCACGGGCCTGTAATATAAGTACATTAATATAGTATAATGATGCATTTCTAGTAATGTATTTTCAAGTAAATATAGGTTTGATGGTAAAAAGACTTATTTTAAGATAAAACTAATAAATTCTGCATGTTTAAATACTCACCAGGCCTGTATTATTGTCTGCATTCAATGGCTTCTGCCCCAATACAGGCCTCTGAGCAGACCTGATAATGAGCCATCATGAGATCGTTGACGGTTAAATGAGCCATCAGTTTTACTGCCCGAACTTGTGAAACGAAACTTCGTTATTCTAATGGTTTTTAAATGGGCCATCATATTTACTGCCAGGGATACTTAGCGAAAAAAAGTGTTTGTTGGCTTAAGAGATGGAATTAATTTAAGTCCTGAGGTAAAAAATCTTTTCCCCTCTCCGACCAGCAAAAAGCAGGACCCCCCGACTTTAAACGGCTGTAACTCGGGGACCCGGGCGAGTTGGACCTCGGGGCTTGTTTGTTTCTTCGTCAGGCACGAAAATTAAGAGTGCCGCCAACGACCTCACTCGTCTGCACATTTAGTAAGTATTGACAGCAGTCCAAAAGACCATAAAGTAGCATTTATTAAACGGATCAGCCTCTAGAAAATTGTATAGTTCAAGTTTGGGAGTTCATCTGATATTTCTGCCCCATTGCAGCTCCAAACTACGCAACATCACGAGCCAGCAGATACGTCGGACCGTGGAGACAGATGTGGCTGCCAACTTTACAGAGCAGCAGAAGGCGTCTGTGGCCCACTACATGGCCAATTCCAATGCAGTGGCAAACCAGCACTATAGGATGAAGACCCTAGATGCTATTGTGGCCACTTCAAACCTGCTCAGCTCCCTGACACGGTATGTAATTATCTGTACTATAATTATGTTATAAATCTGTTATAATTATAATGTCTCTCAACGCTCATCCATCAGTTCGTTAGTGTGTAACCTCCAAACCTTTTCAATATTGCAGCTCCTCTTCTGACGACTCTAGCGAAGAGGGCACCCAGGCAGTGAAGAGAAGGCGGGTACACATGATGGCCCATCAGCTAATCCTGTTTCCTCAGAATGGCCCATCAGCACCTGCGCAGCTGACTCACTGTCAACTGTTCAACTTGAAGCCCATGCAATGGGCTGTTCACACCTTGATGGGAGCTTGTGCTCTGATTGGCTGGTTTTAAACTGAGCCGGGCTTATCAGTGAACCATTTCTCAGAGGGAAGCACTTTGCTTCCAAACTTGCAGTGAGGAGAGCATTATCCTGAGGTGATATTGTTGCAATGGACGGACAAGCTGACTTCCACAGCAGGATGTACTTCCTCTGCCCGATCTGCAAGAAGGCACCGCACACTCTTCCGGGCCATCTCCGCACGGTCTGCATGCAGGGACGCAGCGAGAAGGACATCAGAGATACTGTGATCGAGGCCAAGAAGGAGATGGCCGAGTTCTCTCACACCGGCCGCTTTTGGGAATATAAGAGGATTTGTGAGATTTTGCCATCGGCTGATCCACTTGCCACGTGTGTTGCTTATCTTCTGCCTCACTGCTTTGTCCTGTTGCAGTGCAATACTCAATAATGTAGTGTAGTGTTTGAATTTTGTGATCGTTCCAGCAAACTTTTAATTTATTTCTGTTGTATATTTTTTTTGTTTCTTTGTATATATTGTTGTTCATTTTCTGTATAGAATATGGAAAATAAATTAGTTTTTTTTTGTTTTAAAATAATGTAACGAGTTTTGTAGCTGGGTCAATATATAATTATGGAAGTTTTCATGTCCATGAGATTTATCTCGCAAACATGCTCACTAAAATAAAATTTTAAAAGTCTTCAGTGTTCTTCATGATCTTGTCTTTACAAATTCCATAGTTAATTTTTATGGAAATAATAATTTATTTATAAAAAATTACTAGATATCCCTAAAATGTCAACTAAATAACCGTCCGAAATGAATTACAACCACAATCTCATTACCTAAAAAACATTTAAAGAACTTATTCAAAAAAAGTTATAATTATATTATTTACATTAAGTTGAGGTAATTGTGAACAATGTGTCTTTTTGGGCAATATGTCACATTTTCAATAGAAATTGACAAATTGAGTATGTGTCCGAGAAGTCACTGTCATCTAAGTCAGTGTTTCCCAACCCTGTTCCTCGCGGCACACCAACACTGCGTGTTTTCTTTGTCTCCCTAATCAAACACACCCGATTCAACCCATTAGCTCATTAACCCACCTGATTATGAGCTGATGGGTTGAGTCAGGTGTGTTTGATAAGGGAGACAAAGAAAACACGCAGTGTTGGTGTGCCGCGAGGAACAGGGTTGGGAAACACTGATCTAAGTTACCCATAGCAAATACACCTCGCAAGGAAGAGTGTGTATTCCAAATCACATGACCTGCTCCACATGATGTCATTTCCTCCTGAAGAGAAACCTATGAAGACTCCAAGGTATGTTCTCTCTCTACATTTTCAATTATTTCACCTAAAGTAGTGCTTGGGGCAAATGTGTACTTATCATATGTCAACAATGTTACTACAATGAATTCATAAATAACTTTGAATTTCAATTTTACTCAGTTGTGCATATAATATTCAGAAGAACCTCTCTGTAAAATGCCATGTGGTGTCTGGTGCTAGGCAACCATTTTGACTTTATCCCTAAAAACAGCAAAAATGTCAACTAGGTTACCAGTCACCTATGTTACCCTGCAAAGGTAACTTAGTTGACCAAGAGTAACATAGTTGACATTCATGACATGTTCTTATAGTTTTCATGAGTTCATTTAATATTCTAATTGTACAGTAACTATAAAATACTTTGCAATAAATATTATAAAAGTATATAAACTTGTTTTCAGGTCAAAGTCAACTCAGCTGTTCCTGCATTGCACCAAGAACAACCAGAACTTGAAGTACAGTGGGACAGAGATGACATTGTTGGTCAGTGGTGTGTCATCAGATATGACGATGAGGTTTACCCTGGAACCATTGTTGAAGTGAGTGAGACACATGTTCATGTTAAGTGCATGCACAGAGTGGGACACAATCATTACTACTGGCCAATGCAAGAGGATGTGCTCAGGTTGATTCCTGCCCCACAGCACATGACATGTGAACATGTAAACAGCACGTCATGTTGAAATAAAAAGAGATGTGTGGGAAGATATTGCCAAATCATATCTTCATGGCTAAGCACACACACACACACACACACACACACACACTAACAAACACACACTAACAAACACGTGGCACAAGCACACGGTCAAGCACACACACATACTGTATAGACACCAGCCGTGTATAGTCCAGGTGCCAGAAAGTAAAAATCCTGCCATGTTTTTGGATCTGCCTCTACATCTAGAACAGGTGTTTTCATTAATGAGCTCATCTACGTGGTAGAGGAGCTGGTTAAGGTAACACAGTCTCATCCCAAAAAGTCATATAACTGACGTCTTGAGACGTCTTTTGACCATACGTCAATATTTGCCTTTTTAGGGCCCCCTTAAACGTCGGTAGATGGCGATCCCAGGCCGTCAGACAACTGACGCTTTACCTTTAACGTCAGTTAGGTGACGGGTTAGGTTTAGGGTTAGGTTTAGGTACACTCAAAAAAATGATGTGTTGGCTTTACTTAACTTTTTCATGTAAACAGGTTCCACCGGTTCCACAT